ACGTGGTATTTATAGATTTCTGAATCAACAGTTAAACCAGATTTCTTATATTTACGCTCTAGCTGCCGAGCTTTGGCCTTCAGAGTACGGAGGTCAGAGGTAAACCAGGGAGCAGAGCGAGTGAAGGAAACAGAGTGGGTTTTTACAGGAGCCAGAGAATCAAGGATTAATTAATAACACCCATCTGTTTTAATACACTTTTTAAAGCTGTAATAAACCAAACACATGGTACTGCTATTGCATCTACAGCACTGCAGTGAACTACAAAACTCTAGCTGCCGCTACTGCTGCTACGTACAGTAATTTTTATGGTAAAACTTTATAATAACATCTTAACTAAGTATTAGTGAGACATTAGGAAATAAAATGTTTATTCCTAATTAACAAACTAAACTATTGGTAAATGTACATTTAAAATACTTTGCAGCAGCCATGCATGAATCACTAATGTACCCTTTTGACTTTTATAGCTTGAAGACATAACTGACAATGACAATATCATACCAGCAGAGAACAACATCATCTATGCCCATCAGGCTGGAAAAACCGATTACAACATCCAAGGGCTTGTGAAAGGGCATTTATTTCCAAGTTCTTATAGATTTGAAGAAGGTGACAAAATATCTACATATACCCTGACTAATGCTGTTCCACAAAAGTCTAATTTCAACGGTGGAAGTTGGGAAAAAATGGAGAGATGTGTTAAATGCATTCTGGAGAATTACGGCATTAACAACAATAATGAAACTGAAGGCTTTGCAGTGTTCGGAGCACAGCCCGGCAACGGAAACCTTCTCAACGAAAGGATAAATATTCCTTCAGTGCTGTGGTCGGCATTCTGCTGTTACAGTCACAGTCAGAACAGCTGGCTGGCAAGTGCACACTGGGGTGAGAGAACACAGATGATGGCCCAAAATATCTTCAAACCAAGACCTTGGGAGAACTCCACACAGAGCTGGGAATTGAAGCATTTCCTGGAACACAATGTCCTAATGGCACAAGTGTCACTCAGCTTTACTCAGAACCTGGGTCACTGTGTCACTCCCATTGCCGACAGTAATGGAACAGAAAGAAGAGTACATCTACCCCTCCTACAACCACCTCCACCCCTTCAGATTCAACACCTTTGTCTTCTTCTTCCACATTGAATACACAGATCCCCACTAGCACCACATCTTTCTGGAACATCTGTCCCACTTTCCCCCACAGTTCCAAATTACAGTACCACATCTGGCAATCCAACGGCTGGCCCTCTGGGTACTACAACAAGTGTTGTAGTGCTGCATCTGTCCAGATTTTTAGCACATCTGTCAAAAAGGTTAAGAGTAAATGATAGTGATGAGATTCCTTATAAGGCTGGTGCCTTGGAGAACAGACAAAAAGATGAAAATTCTGAGCAATTTTTTTAAAATTGAAAAGTGATTTGGAAAAGGTAAAAAACATGAAAATTTTGAAAGAATAAATAAAAAGAGTAAGCAGGGTAGCACGGCAGCACAGTGGTTAGCACTGTTGCCTCACAGCAAGAAAGTCCTGAGTTCAGTTCCACCATCAGGCTAGTGTCTTTCTGTGTGGAGTTTCAATGTTCTCTCCTGTGTTTGTGTGGGTTCTTCCTCCCACTGTCCAAAGGCATGCACTTAGTGGGGATAGATTGATTGGAAGCTATTGTGTGGTTTTTTTTCTCCAGGTCAGTTTTATTGGTTATTTCAAGCTGATGTTTTCTTACCAGAGTCTCTCTAAATATTGCTCTCTAACAGACAGGTAGCCACATCACAATGTAACTATTGTTGATGCTTCATGAAGGAAAGCTTGCAATCAAAACTCAGGGCTGGATAAACAACATCAACATTACAATTCTCCTAAAACGAGTAGAGAAGTTGAAAATAAAATAAGATGGATAATATCTTTATAGCAAAGATATACATAAAGCATTTATCATGCATAAAGGGAAACTAAGCATGGTTTTTCATATTACATTTGAATCATAAATGTCTGATTTAAACCACATATTTATGTACCATTCATGCCTGAGATGATAAAGAAGTACAAGCCACAGATGTGATTTAATAAATAACAATGTTTTTGTTTCAGGGTTCTTATGAAGGATATGTTAAGTTTAGGTTCCTGCTTTGTAATCTCCATGTTTTTTCTTTCTTGTGTTTTTCATTATCATAGTTTCTATAGTTTTGGTTTTGGTACTTTGTCTCTCTCATGTGCCTTGATTTTATGCCTTGATTTTCCTTCTTGAGTGCCCAATTGATTCTTGTGCTTTATCAGAATCAATCAGAATATCTAAAAGCCTAATTGAATTATGTTTTAGTTATTATCTGGCTGACTTTGTGTTTTCCTTTAGATGATGAAAAACTGCTTTAGTTTCTGTCAGTTTAATCCAACTGACTTCTGACTGTGCTTCCTTTGTAAACAGAAAGTTTCAACAGTGGGTGGGGTTCAGTGTTCACAGAATGCATAGTTTATTTTAAATATTATATATTAACCTATTTTTTTTTACTTTTAAGAATGTGGTCATGATAAAAAAATATCCTATACTGGTTTATGTTTTACAACCTTTTCACAGTAAAGAAAGGGTCTGGTTGTCCTTGGATGACCTCTAAAAGCTTTTATTAATATCTTAAAAACAAAAGCTATCAGACAATGTCAATATGACATATCTATATCATAATGACAATATCAATGACACTGGAATCCTAGAATAGACACTTGGACATAAACTTACCTCATAATTTGAAACCTTCATCCTAAGAACCCACAGTCACACAGGTGACACCGCTCCTTTACACATTGAGGGAAGTTTCTATTAAAGTTTGAACACTGACTTTCCCACAGTTTTCCTTACTGTAAAAATAGGTCTGGGCTCTTATGGTTTATTATGCATCTATATGTATATGTGAGGGAATGAGGAAGTATGTTTAATGTAATAATTGCTTTTTTCTTCTCTGACCCGATGACACAGGGCTCACCGATGATATCATTGATGATGCAGCACCTCCTGCCTCTTGCTACTCTTCTCCTTCTGTCCATCGTTCCCACTGAAACTGAAGTGGTGGCATCAGTGGCACAATGTAATGAGTTTTTTCTTGCGCAAACTCCACCAAACATCCCAGGAATTTTGGAGGTAGGGAACATCAACGACCAGAACAGATACAAAGTGATCTGCCAGACTTTGAGAGACATCAGGAGGTTTGTGACGCTGTACGACACCCAAAACAGGATTCCAGTTTTTTCTGCTGCAGAGTACAGTGGTGGAAGCGAAGGACGCGAACCTCTGTGGAAGATTGAACCACAGGTATCATTATAAGTAACAGTCATCAATTTTAATACATCTTTTTAAGCTGTAATAAAATATGTTCATAATGCAGTGCTACATGATGATAATACAGACCACGTTTATTACTGTGAATCTTAGTATACCACTAAAATTAAACTACCCACAGTGCTGTGCTACTGCTGTTGGGACTAAAGCACTGCAGTGAACTACAAAACTTTTATGGTAACACTTTATAATAATGTCATTCTATTAAGTATAAGTGAGGCATTAGTACGTCAAACATTTCCTCTTAATTAAAAAGTCCATGTATAACATGTTCATGGTAACATTTAGAGAGGCTGAAAAATTGATTAACAAAGTATTTAAATGTAGATTTATATACATAGCAATTAAGATATGAGCTCATTGTTTAAGTTAAGTTAACTTAAGTTTTAATTGTTAGTTTAGTATTTTGTTTGACTGCATTTAAAGTGAGGAGTATTTTTTGCCACATAAAGCATTTATAAAAGAAAATGAAAGTATTTAAATCTGCATTTATAAAGTACATACTACTGAGGAGTAATCCTCAGTAGTATGTACTAATACCTCACCAATGCTTAACAGTCTGAGATTATTATAAAGTATTACTGATTTAACTTTTTACTTAACATTCAGTGATCCCACTTATATTTTGATGACGCTACATAGATTTTGCATTTTTCCTGATATAGGACACGTCTGTATATTTCCTATGCAACGGCAGTCTTGTCAGTTAAAGTTTGCCTTTTTAAATGGTAGCATTAAAATATGTAAAGCTCACACCTTAAGCGGCTGTTATTATGTTTAAATTATACAACTTTGATCAACCAATTAGTAAATGTACATTTAGTCCACTTTGCAGCAGCCATTGCATGGATCACTAATATATCACTTTCACTTTTATAGCTTGAAAACCCAACTGGTGATGCCAATATGACACCACCAGAAAAGAACATCATCTACACCCACCAGGCTGGGATCATTGATTACAGCAACCTTGGACAGTTTGAGAAAGGGCATTTATTTCCAAGCTCTTATAGATCTGATGAAGTTGACAAAAGATCTACCTTTACCCTGACTAACGCTGTTCCACAAAGAAAACTATTTAACAATGGTAGGTGGAACAGCATGGAGAGATGTGTTAAATGCATTCTGGAGAATTACTGCATTAACAACAATAACCAAAGAGAAGGCTTTGTAGTGATCGGAGCACAGCCCAGTAGCAGATTCTTCCTCAACAACAGGATAAATATTCCTTCAGTGCTGTGGTCGGCATTCTGCTGTTACAGTCAAAGTCAGAACAGCTGGCTGGCGAGTGCACACTGGGGTGAGAACACAGATCTTGGCCCAAAATATCTGGAGACCATGACCTTGGGAGAACTCCGCACAGAGCTGGGAATTGAAGCATTTCCTGGAACACAATGTCCTAACGACGAAAGTGTCACTCAGCTTTACTCAGAACCTGCATCACTGTGTCACTCCCATTGCCGACAATAATGGAACAGAAAGAAGAGTACATCTACTCCTCCTACAACCACTGCTGTGCCTTCAGATTCAACACCTTTGTCTTCTTTTTCTACATCCAACCCACCGATCCCTCTCAGCACCACATCTTTCTCGTCATCTGGAACATCTGTCCCACTTTCCCCCACAGTTCCAAATTACAGTACCACATCTGGCAAGCCAACAACTTGCCCTCTGGGTACTACAGCCAGTGTCTACTGCTGCAACTGTCCAGATTTCTAGCACATTTGTCAAAACGTTTAGAGTAGATGAGAGTGATGAGATTCCTCATAAGGGTAGTGTCTTGGAGAACATCAGAAGCATTATTGTGAAATGGAAGGGCATCATCAGTTTTTCTCAGATTTATTGATCATTTCATGCTGATGTTTTCTTACTAGAGTCTCTCTAAACATTGTTCTCTAACAGACAGATACCATAGACCAGATCACAATGCAAATATTGTTGGTGCTTCATGAAGGACGCTTGCAATCCAAACTTTTGGCTGAATAAACAACATCAACATTACAATTTTCCTAAAACGAGTAGAAATGTTAAAAATAAAACAAGTTGGATTATATCTTTGTAGCAAAGATATATATAAAGCATTTATTATGCATAAAGGGAAACTAAGCATGGTTTTAACATAAGCAGTTATATTACATTTTAATCATAAATGCCTGATTTAAACCACATATTTATGTACCATTCATGCCTGAGATGATAAAGAAGTACAAGCTACAGATGTGATTTAATGAAATAATAATGTTTTTGGTTAGGGGTTCTTATAAAGTTGTGGTTCCTGCTTTGTAATCTCCATGTTTATTCTTTCTTGTGTTTATAATGATCATATTTTCCTAGTTTCTATAGTTTTGCTTTTGGTACTTTGCCTGTCTCATGTGCCTTGATTTTATGCCTTTATTTGCCCTCCTGGGTGCCTGATTGATTCTTGTGTTTTGTCAGATTTCCTTTCTTTGTTTTTGTCTTGTTAACATTTATTCTTCCTGCATTTTGGGTATTTTATCTGCCAGCACTGTTATTTTACTTTTACTTACAGTCAGAGTTTAGCCTTTATTGTGATTATTACACTGTACTCACGTACAGTGTAATTCAGTGTACTCATACTCGAAGTAAATGATGTGACCAACAGTAACTGCTTTGACATCATCTCCCTCAAATATTGAAATACAATTTTAAATTGTATTTGAAAATGACAGAAATGTATCAAATAGCAAAAGCAAGGATGATTCAAGACAATATTTACACACACTGTGATGTGCTGGTATACAGAAAAATGTTTAATGATGTGTTCTCCAACAGCTATAGAGAAAAGAGAAGTATTTGTTGAAGTATTGAGTTGTAGTACCAGCGGAGCCTATCCCAGCTGTCAAAGGGTGAGAGGAGTTATGGACAAATTGCCAGAACTGTTGAGAGACAGATCTGAGAATAACCATGTAACCCAGCACATCATTGAACTGTGGGTGGAAGCTGGAGTACCTGGAGAGAACCCACACCAGCACTGGGAGAAGATACAAACTTCACACCGAAGACCAGGAAACTAATGGATTCACACCCAGGACCGTCTTCCTGTGAGGCCGTGGTGCTAATCACCGTATCATCATACAGCCCATGTTAAACAATATGACAGTAACTACCCTCTATAGTGTTTTGTAAAACATTTAATATGTTATTGGGGTTCTAATAAATGACAACTGGAGCATCAAAGAGTGCATTTTGTGTTTTCTGTTGGAAAATACACTTTAGGTTTTAAAAAGGCATCATTTTAAATCTGGGTGAAGTATTTTTATAGGAAATCAAAAAGGATCAAACTCGTATAGAGGATAAATGTGTGAATGACTATTAAGTGACATAGATTCTGCCTTGATTTGCAGCCCAATGTCTGTTCAAAACTAACTTTTCAGGAATAATTTAAAATAACTTTCAGTGTACGATGAAGCCCTCTGCCTGTAACTCAGGGTATCAGCATGTTTACATTGTTGACAGGTGACAAAAAGAAGTTTTTCTTTTAGG